TTTTTTTTTTTTTTTTTTTTTTTTCCCCTGCTCGCTTGAGTTACAGATAAATAGGTTGGCCTTCCTGAAACCCTGCAAGGTTAACACTCCCAGCTGGGGCCTTCCTTTCTGGAGAATCACTGTTGCCATCACAGGCAGATATTCTATGTTTCAATGAACGTGCCACTGTAGGCCAAATGTTAGTAGTTAAACACTATCATCACAGAAACACACAAAGCTAGAGTCAAGTTCACAAACACAGCTGGTGGCTAAGAAACTCTTAATGAAGGAAACCAAGTTGCTATTGGCTCGAAGCCATTCATCGCGACTTCTGATACACATAAACTGGGATTGTTTTACACGAGGGAGAATAAGATAAGAACCACTGTCCTCAGTTTCTCTCCCCAGTCGAAGATCGAACATTTCGTTAGGACGTCCACTGGGAAAAAAAGAGTGAAATCACACATAATGTTCTCGCGGGTTGATGTACACTCTCTCAGGGTCGTTGCTTTGACGATGCTTGCCCGGGCTCCGGTCTTTCTGGCATATCTGATTGTAAAGGGGGCACATCTGCTGGATCCCATCTTCCCCCACAGGATTCTCATCTTCATAGTCCACTCTCCTGCGACTTAGCCCATTCTAAAAATTCAAATATTGCTTATGTTAGCAGAGCAGATGTTTGCATCTTTCTAGCACTTTGGTCAAAACAGGCAAGAACTCGATTCATTAGAGTCTGTGTCTCTGATTCATTATCCCACAGGCTACTCAATGGCAAGGTCAAGTTCAACTTCTTTTCATTTTCCGGTCATTTGTTGCTTACAATACCTGGATAAGAGTCACAACATCTGCTAAATAGAAAATTATGACTAACGGGGATGATAGTCATTTTCAGGTTTCGAGATTTGGAACTGGTATCAGTTAAACTAGGGAAGAACAAGGTTGTAAACTCCTGGGAGTCCCTCAGCAAGGCTCAAGCTTGGAATGCATGCATGAAATATGCAGAGAATTAAATCAAACAGGCAAAACAAAACCAAATGAAGCCTCAAGATTCAGAGTTGGGGAATCAGGGAAAAGACATAGTGAAATGAACTGGTATTTGGCCACATGTCCAACATAACTGAGAGTCAGAAACGCTGTCACGGCTGACACCATAAAATGAACCCCCGTGATGCTCTGTGATGTCTCTGGTACTGACCCCTCCGCCCAGTTATTGGTTTCTTAAACCCTGACTACTGCTAAATGGCCAAGCAAGCTCAAGGACTTGACAAGATCATACTATAGATGCTCAGATGGCAGAGAGGTGAATACAATAAACTTTCGTGGAAATCAAATGATATTTCAGTCGGCATGGGAGACACCAGTTCCACCTGGGCAGACCCCCACGGCAGGACCCCGTTACTTACAGAGTGCTGGAGGCCGCCCACCTCTCTTTCTCGGAACTGAGTCTGCAGAGGCAAGTGTTCGGTCTGGAGGAAGAAGATAGAACAAGACACACGCTTTAAAGCTCCAAGCACATGGTGAAACACATCAACCCAGACCATGAAGAAGCCTATTTTTAAAAGAGCCAATCATGTCTCGTCACATGTGTGCCAGGTAAGCAAATGTTCCTTCGGAGGGGATGAGCAACGACATTTCCTGAGAGCTGTCTCTCTCCTGACTCTAGACTTCTTCTGGAAGGAAGAAAACATACAGAAGATCTGCTGCAAGAGGTCTCATGCAAAGTTACTCATACCTTACCCGAGGGAGGCCTCAGCACAGAAGAATCTGATACTTGGAATCGGCTTTAAAAGTGGTCTGGGGTGGTAAGGAAAGGTTATTTTTTGTCCTTCTCTATAGAGGTATATATACGGCCACCCTTCTGGTCCTGCCAGCTACTCTCTGCCCCCAACCCTGCCCAGATCATAAAGGGGATTCCTCATTTTCAAAACCCACCCTAGGAAGAATCTCTCTCTGCTTCCCCTTGGCCTATAAATGCATCCTTACCCTTGGCCTCCAGGTCATATATTACCTCTTCCAGGAAGCCTTGCCCAAAGTGTATATTATTGCCATTATTTGTTTATATTTGCTTGTCTCCTTCACTACACTGAGGTGCTAGTTGGAGTATTTTACAAACATTATCTCATTTATAATCTCTCTAAAACTTCTATAAAACTGATGCTTTTATTTTACAGAAGACTGAAACGGAGGCTCAGAGTGGTTCAGTAAGGTGTCTCCGGTCACACAGCTGGAAGTGGAGGATTGTGATTCACACGTGGCTCTGTCTGAATCCTAAGCCTATATTCCTATATCCCCTACTTCTAACCCAGTGTCTGGAAAATAGATGTTTCATAAATATAACAGAAGAATGCCTGAAAGTCCCAGCATGTGGGCGTATCTATCAAAATGCTCTCCCTTCACTGCCTTTCCTTATGCTGTCCTTTCGGCATGGAAGGTCCGTCCCTTTGCCTCTGACAGCTGAAATACTACCCATCCATCGTGGCCTGACTGAAGCCACCTTTTTTTCCCTATAGGGTCCATCAAAGTTCATTTCTTTGCTCCAATGTGCCTATTGTTCGTGTGTTTCATAGCACACATCACTGCTCTGATATCTGTACCTTTCAACCCCAGTAAAGAATGAGCCTTCCTGGCCATCCTCTTCCACCTCCACACCCTGGCCTGTGGTTCGACAACAGTAGGAAGTTAACAGTTAACTGATGAATTTACTAAACTCTAAACTATCAATTCTTGATATCCCATGTTAAGGTTATCCGAATTATAAATCATGTCCACCATGTATGTTCCTCCTGTCATATTCTGCTTGATTCTAGGGTGCTTCCCACATGTGTGACCATGTGATAATTGACCACACATCCTGGTAAATGTCCAGTTTCATGGATGTGTGACCAGTCACACAGGGCCTTGCGTTCAGGACCCATTTGGGGACTTAATGCTCTGTGGTTGCCATCTTAAGATTTCTTAATATTTTATTGTGAATCCATGTTTTATAAGTAGTCTAATGAAACAATGGAGCATGACTCAGTGACCTGTGGCATCAACTCAAGGTTGTCCTCTCCTGATGCTTGTGTTTGATTTGGTTCTCGGCTGCCACTTCCTTACCGTAATGTTCCAGATCCCCCTTGCTTTCCTCTCCCTGTCCCTGTCCAGTGACTCTGCCATTCTCTGATCTGGCAGGGGCCTGAGTGCTGGTCCAGGGAAGGCTGGGGTCAGGAGTGCATGCCCCCTGCCTGCATCACGGTACTTCTGGCAGGTGGCTGGAGGACCCGTCTCAGTAAGGGCAAGCCTCTGACCCCCTTGGTTATCACCATCTTGACATTGTATAGTTTTCAACAAGAGGCTCTGCATTTTCACTTTGCACTGTGCCTCATAAATTATGTACCTGGTCCTGGTCCAAGAAAAATAGATTTGGGGGGGAAGAAAAACCTCCTAAAATTAAAGCTAGCATCTTGTTTGTTTGTTGTTTTAGATGATCCCAGTTGCTATTCCCCTTGTATCAATACTGGTAATTGAGGGCGCCTGGGTGGCTCAGTCGGTTAGACACTTCAGCTCAGATCATGATCTCGCACTTTGTGGGTTCGAGCCCCATGTTGGGCTCTGTGCTGACACCTCAGAGACTGGATGGAGCCTGCTTCAGATTCTGTGTCTCCCTCCTTCTCTGCCCCTCCCATACTCGTGCTCTGTCTCTCTCTCAAATATAAAATAAACATCAAAAAACAGTACTGGTCATTGAGAAATTATTCTACATCAGTGCTGTATCTAATTGGAAAGAGACAGGGCAGTTAGAAGCTTCCCTATAGAAGGGGCGAGTGCCTTTCTTCCTGCTGGTGCAGGGTGTAGAAATCAAGGGTGCAGTCGATACTGAAGGAGTCCACAATCTAGAAATACAGAGATCAGAGCCTCAAGAGTTCAAGAAAGGTTTGGTTGGAATATGAGCTGTTCCATGTTTATGCTATAAAATTCCAACTGGCGAATTTAGTATGACCAGAAAATAAATAATCGTTCACATTTTCCTGAACACTCAGGGTATACTTGTATCTGATCGTTGTCGGTGAAACACAGTAACAAACTTTAAGTCCTTGGAAGCCAGTGTTCATGGAGGGCACAATGAACGATGCAGCATCAATAGTAACACTATAACCAGTGTTGATTAACAGTATTAGGGAATTACAGAGGCAAGAAAATCTGTTTTGTTTCAATATAAAGAGATTTCAAAGAGCCATGGCTTGCTTTAGGAGTTACAATAGCACTGTTAACATTTTTTTTTTTTAATAGTAGGAGACATAAAATTAGCTATTTGAAAATAAAAACAAGAGAGTTTCTAGACCTGAACAGGAAGAAATGGTGCCTGGACACTATACATAATCTTCACTTTTACAGAAGGGATGACAAGCATATGTGTAAGTTCCTTTTTTTTCTATCCAGTGCTGTAAACATTCACTACCGAACCACTATCCCTCCTGTGAGCCCATGAATTGTGTAATATAATATTTAACTAAATTCTATGAACAGAAGCCCCACACATTGTAGGGATCAGGGACCAGGGCTGTAGAGAGCATGCTACCCTTGCCTCTGCATGGTACAGCTGTCCAATTTCTGACAAGAGACATAAAGGATTTAATTTAATCTAATGGTGGGTGGGTACATGTGTTCTATTTCTGCTACTCCCTGAACTACCTGAAATGTTGAATATCTGACTTTAAAAAAAAAAAGGTTAATCACTAGTATATTGAAAACTGTCTTGCATAATACCTTACTTATGTTTGGTGCTTAATATACAGGTATAAATTAACTCATAATATTTTAACTAATGGAATCATAGCATATATCATTCTATTACTCTTCCAGTTTTTCCTAGAAAGCCTTGGGCTACTCCGAATCTCTAACAGGTATTTTGATTTCCCTACAGGCATGTACTACCTTGTAACAACTTCTATTGAGCTACAATCCATAGGCACTTTCCTCACTTACTAGTCAGGTAGACTTTCTGGCTCTAATGCTTCTTCCTTATAATGAAAAATGATACATTTTTACTTCTGCTTCCAGTCATGATGGAGAACTAATACCAGACTAGCCCTTCTGCCATAAGTCACTAGAAAACTGGGCAAAATGTATGAAACAACAGTTTTCAGACTTGGCAGTTTTCAGTTTACAGACCTGTTTGCAACTGTTTGAAAACAACAGTTTTCAGTTTGCAGACCAGATAACTGTGCTGCACAGGACTGGGAACTCAGATAATAGAAACACACACACACACACACACACACACACACACACACACACACACGGTGATCCTCTAACAGTCCTGGAGACTATCTGATTTTTCTGCTCATTTGGGAAGAGAAAAACCCAAGAAAAGCACTGCTGAGCTGAGGGAACAGACTTCAGCACTCAGGCAAGCTGAGGTACTGTAATCTGTGGGACAGGGTACTGAAGAGAAGGAGAATCCTCATTGGGCATGTGAGACATTCAGTACAGAACCCAAGGTCATGCTTTAAAAGTAAGGCTAAAATAGCTCTAGGACACAGAGTGTTCCAGAACCACCCTAACAAAACTTAAAAACAAGCTTCCAGAAGATCAAGTTGATCTTAAAGTCAATTAACTGACTGCCAGAAAATAACCCAATTCTTATTAAGGAATGATAGCAAATTTCAAATAATTGATAATATAACATTCACAATGTCCAGCATCCAATTAAAACATACTGAACATGAAAAAAAAAGGAGACAAAATAAGTCAATAGAAACAAAACCCAGTATGACACATATGGATTTAATAGACTGTAACTTTTAAACACTTACTATAAATATGTGTAAGGAGGGATGCCTGGGTGACTCAATCGGTTAAGCATCTGACTTGAACTCAGGTCATGATCTCATGGTTCATGAGTTTAGGCCCTGCATTGGGCATGGGTCCCTGGGTCAAGCTCCACCCTGACAGTGCAGAGCCTGCTTGGGATTCTCTCTCCCACTCTGTCTGCCCCTCCCCTCTTCATGCTTTCTCTCTCTCTCTCTCTCTCTCTCTCAAAATAAATAAACATAAAAAAATAAATATGTATAAGGATATTTAAAAATATGAATATAATATGAGAATCAAAAACTATGAAAAGAACTGAAAAGAACTTCTAGAACTGAAAAAATACAGTATCTAAATTGAAAAAAGTCACTGCATGGCCTTAACAGACATTGCAAAAGAAAAGATTAATGCATTTGAAGACAGAAATTATCCATACAAGGAGATGGGGGAAACAGCTGAAAAAGAACATAGCTTTTGTGGATCTGTGGAATAATATCAAGAAATCTATCATTTGTGTAACTGGAATCACAGAAGGAAGGAAAGACAGGAAAACGGTATTTGAAGAGCTGTTAAAATGTTCTAAATTAGATGAAAAATACATCTATAGTTCTAAGAAGCTCAATGAATTCCAATAAAGGTAAACATAAAGAAAACTACTCTAATACATTTCAAACTC